CCCCATACTCACACCACACACTCACACCACAGACACACACACTGTACACACACACACCACACACCCAGACATACGTCATACCACACACACCCCATACACTCACTCCACACGCTCACACCAAACATACCACACATGCCACACGCCCCACACTCTCAGACACGTCATACCCCACACACCCCACTCACATCACACACCCCACACAGACACACATGCCACATGCTCACATTACACACATTCACACCACACACACACCCCACACATACCACATACACCCCACACATGCCACACACATGCCACACACGCCACATGCTCACATTACACACTCACACCACATACTCAGACATGCCACACATTCACACTACATACACACACCACACATTTAGACACACACACACCACATACACTCAGACACGTGCCAAACACATTACACACCCCACACACACGTTACAGGCTCACACTAAACACACAACTCACATACACCACACATACCACATACACACCACATGCTCACACTACACACACCACACACCCCAGATGCTCAGCTACCACACATTCACACACACCACACACATCACACGCTCAGACACACACACAGAGTCCGGCAGGGGAGACAGACGCACGGTGAGCAGTGCTGCTTCCAGCATCTGATTTAGACCGTTTGGTGACGTAGAAGGCTTCTTCCACTTTTTAAAACCTAAGTGTGACCAGAAAACCTGAGTTTGCATACACAGGCACACAGTGGGGATCCATGCAGCCGCCTCTGAGGATCTGGGGCCCGCGTGTCCACAGTGGGGATGGGACCCATGCTCTGCGGCTTGCAGATGGGCAACCTGCTGACTGAGGGGGCTGGAGTGGGTCTGGTTCTCCAGGTGTCTGGACACATCTGGACATTTCTGGATTTCAGGAGAAGCAGACAGAGAAGGGGTACGGCAGCAGGAGGCTGTGGAAGGTTCTGGAGCACAGGATAAGCAGCAGTGTGCACACGTGATCGCACACGTGTGTCCCATATCGTGCTCTTGTGGCATTTATGGATGGCCTTTGAGTGTTGAAGATTCTAGAAACATCTCCAGAAAAGGGATGTGGGTAGCTAAGGGACTCCATGAAGTTTCCCCAACGAAAGAGACAGAAAGGGTCAACAAGCAGGAGATGCCCCAGCTCACAGCATCAAGAAGCAAGCGCTGACCACAGCCCTGCCCACTAGGAATGAGTCTGACCATTCAGCACTGAACATGGACACCACGGGATCTCACTTAGCCCCATGCCGGGAGGTGCTGTCAGAGGCCGGGTGCACCTGTCAGGCCGGCCGGTCCCCGGGGCACAGCTCTTCATCTGTGCAGCTGACAGATAAGGGCCTGGAGGCCTGGGATCACCGCCCTCCCCAAGGACACTCCTCTGGCCACTGCACGCCTGGCACCTCTGTCCTCGGGGTGTGGCCATGTGGTCTGAGCCCTGGGGCCTTCCCATACCCAGCCATCCCCTCTCTCCGGACATCACCCGTCGTTCAGCTTCATTTATAACATGTGCTTAATCACTGCCTTCCCACCACAGTGCGACTGAGGACCGGGGGGAACATGTGGGAAGCGTCTGCAGCATTGTAGCCCCGGCCGCACCAAGCCGGTCCCAGCAGCCCTTCAGGGGACGTGGCTGCTCGGCTGAGACCCAGCACATCCTCCATGCACTGGGCTGGACCAGCAGAGCCTGGCACATGGTGGCTGCAAGATTATCGAAAAAGACAGGAGACCGAGATCAGAACCACAAACCAACCCAGCACACGGTGATTTGGGACTGCCAGGATACTGCCACAGGCAGGCTTTTGACCACAGGTGGCCACAAGTCCCCTTCTTCCTGCCCCCCAAGATGTCCTGCCCCAACACGCTCACCAGGGAGGCTCCCTGCTCCCGCCTCGCCTCACCCCACCAAGCGGACAGAGGAGTCCGCTGTGCCCACACTCCTCGAGACGTTACTGCAGATGCCGGCTACTGCCGGCTGGTGTCACGGGACATTCATCAGGGTGCCCATGTGCTGTTTTCCAGGTCAGGCCGATTCCCCAAGCTCTGGTTACGAGGCCCAGGGCGCTGCTGTCTTCAAAGACTGAAGAGGGAGGGAGGACCTTCACAGTAACGGCCGCGGCCACACTTTCACATCAATGGTGAAACCCGTCCTCTGTGTGTGTTTTGCCGGCTTATGTCACGTGAGGGATACAGATGCTGCATTTAAGGATATTTCTGATTTCACTTAGTGCAGGGTTCACTAGACCCCAAGCAGAAGCAGCAGCTACAGCGTCCAGTGTGAGGCTGACACTCTCAGCATCTTCCTGAAGGCTGGGAGGCTCACATCCGATGCCAGAACCCTGTGGTGTCTCCCCCAAGTCAGCCTGCAGCTGTCGGCCTGGCACTGCTCCCTATGGGCTGCCAGGGAGACGGAGACACAGAGCCAGGCTCCCTACCCTTCCAGAGGATGGGGACCCAGCTCTGCCTGGGACAAAACAGAAAACTGCAGCCCTCGGGAACCATTTTTGCTGACCTGATTTCCCAGTAGCCACCTCTGGGGTCAGTTCTCTCCTGGAAAGGGCAGGAGGTGGCCACGCCCCCAGGGTCGACCACACCAGACAGTCCATGTGGACAGGCACTGCCCCTGTGAGCATTAGCCCCTGTGCAGACGGCCTCCTTGGCACTAGAAACGCAGAAGCCCGCGCCCCACAGAGCTCTGCTGATCAAACAGGCATGCGCTGGTGACAGTCTCCGCGGGAGAAAAGCAGTTCCTGGGCTAAGTCAGATCCCAACTGCTGAGCAACGGGGCCTCCAGGGGGTATCGGGAAAGAGCAGCAACTTGGGAGCGGAAAAGCTGGATTCAGGGCCCAGCTCAGATCTGAAGCCGACTACAGAGCTCCACGGAGCCACAATGCAGACGAAGCTCTAACCCCTCAGCAAAACCACGGGGACTCGGCGATGGCTCCCACAGACCCGAAGTCATCCCACAGTCTCGGGGACCCCACGACGGTGAAACCTCACAGACACTCTGCCTCGTCCCACAGTCACGGGGACCCCACGACGGTGAAACCTCACAGACACTCTGCCTCGTCCCACAGTCACGGGGACCCCACGACCGTGAAACCTCACAGAGACTCTGCCTCGTCCCACAGTCTCGGGGACCCCACGACGG